ATTTCGACAAGTGTGAAGTTAGCCCCCCCTAAATTTCAATGTTAAATAACTTTTTTTTTAGAGGTGTGCAAACGAAAATTCGAGTTGTTTCGAAATGTGCAAACCAAAATCCATCGAGTACATGCATTGTGAGTCAAGTTTGTGCAACTTGGGGGACTAGTGTGAAGTTAGCCCCCCCAAAATTGTTTTTTAAATTTCTTTTAAACTAAATGTGTGCAAACGAAAACTCTTGATGTGCAAACATGTGCAAAGATGTGCAATCGTTTGAGCTAAAGAAAGTTTACTTTTTCGAATGTTGAGGGGCTAGTGTGAAGTTGTCCCCCCAAAATTGTTTTTTCAATAACTTTGAAACTAGAGGTGTGCAAACGAAAATTTTTGATGTGCAAACATGTGCAAACGATGAGCAAACGAATTAGGTGTAGAAATTGTTTTTTTTTTTAATATTGGAGGGCTAACTTCACGGGGCTGGAATTCGTCGTCTGAAAAAATCATTTAAATATATATTACTTGGAACGCGCGCTGCCTCGTGAGGACTGCAAGATGCGAGAGAGGTTCCTGTTTTTTCTGTTATACTATGAATCAGACAAATATAACAAAGAAAACAGTATATATGTAATACTACTATATTGCTATTCACAAACTTATCCCGTAGTGGCAGAGGCATCGAAAAAACGAGACAGACAATGCGATAGATATAAGTGATCATGTACTTTAAACGTTATGCGCACCCATATAGCACAAGTAGATTCTGAGCATATTCTCAGTATATTGCAAACGTAAAGAGCATATATTCTATGAATATTCGAAATACGTACTGTGATATTTTGAGAATATATTGTGTAAATAAAAATGTAATTTTAATTGATGAATATTTAATTTTGATTAATAAATATTTAATTTTTGCTTATTCCTGTAATGTTAGTCCTCATTCTTGTGACGTTAACTCTCCAGCCCTATAACGTCAGTTTCCCACTCTTGTAATGTTAACTCCTTATGCCTGTCCTTTGAATGTGAACTCCCTATGCCTTTAACATCACTTATTCTGTTCTAGAACTGGCCTAGTATTTCTACTCGTGTGTATTATAATTGTGTATTATAACTGTGCAAAAAGATTTTTAATTCTACAAAGCCAATAACAAAACTATGATCAATAAACAAGATAAACAAAGGATGCCTTCAGGATCCCATTAACTTTCTTTGTTTCTCTCTCTCTCTTTTTCACTGTTATTATTTATATCATGTAATTATTCTTTCAGGGTATAGTAGGTGGCATGACTTTGTCATTGCTATATTACAGCTTCAGAGAATTACCTTTAGGTGATGCTACCACTATTATATTTAGTTCACCAGTCATCGTAATCGCACTTTCTTTCCTTTTTCTGAAGGAACCTTGCGGTGTGCTACGTATAGTAGTAGTCTGCACACTTTTTGGTGGTGTTGTTTTGGTTGCTAGACCACCATTCTTATTTCAGGTAACCAAAAATTAGAAATAGGATTTTACCATAACAGATATAAAATTATTTAATAAATCAATTAACAAAGCAAGCTTGAAAGTGAACGTGATAAATATACTCGTTAAATATAACATAGATAATTCATATCAAAATTGTGCGTAACTTCAAATAAGTGTAACTTTATGAAAAGTGATCTATTTGAATATTTTTTATTGTCAAAATTAAAGTTTGTACTTTAAAGAACATTTACTATATTTTGAATTAATGTTCTCTTTTTTCGTTGTCCTTTCAAAAGTAAAGATATGCTACGCTTTTAAGAAATTGCATAATTGATGTATTTTACAAATAAGTTATTTTCGTAATATTTAATGATAATGATTGTAAAGTATATATTTCTTCTGCAAATTAAAGAAAAGAAAATGTTTGAAAGATTTTGTTCAGTTAAATCAACTTAGTATAAAGATAGAATTACACGATACACAATTTCATATCTTCCTACATGCATGTTAATCGGTAGTTCAGTTCATTATTACATGAATTGTTATCGTGCATTAGAAGATCTATGTAATGAACTGAGTTACTGGGCAGTACGCATATCAGAAGGTATAAAATCATATATCGTGTGTTTTTAGTATTATCCGATGCGCGCTACAAAGACATTGCTAGTAAGATAGAGTGTAAAACCAGAACAATCTACGAAGTTCTCGTGAGAACGTAGAGTAGGTCGAGGTGAACATAAAAGTCCTATACTGTTTTGTGATATTCGTAATAATAACCGAGAAATTAATTGTGAAAGATTAAGAAAAAGTGTTTGCTGAATAGTAGAGGACGGAGCACTCGAGTCACAGCGCGGTCACAATATATGTATAACTAGTAGCGTCACTTGGTGGAAACAGCGTCGGAGAAATGCTACAGCGCATATGTTGCATTACTACCAGCAACATGGTGTCAAATAAAAAAACAAACAACATAAATTACTCAGGTAGTACAATTAGTAACACATTCATTCTTTAAACATTTACTATACGATTATGAAACATTATATATGTTTACAGAACGTATATAAAATTAACATGTGTTACCTGAGTAATGGCTGTCTATAATAAATTATAAATTGTAGCCTGCAAATATTAAGAATTTAACATATTTTTTTATTATCAATTTGTATACACATCTATTATAAGCTTCAAAACATTTTATTCATATTTTTGAAGAGATAATGAAAAATATTTGAGTCATTGGTTACGAATTTATACTTTATTCGCTCGCATTTTATATACACACACATGTACATATTATATATATTTTAACTATAAATAATAACACAGTGTACATCAATTTGCCCATTAATAACATTAAAAATAAAAATTATTATCTGTTTTTACTAGAAATTCACACAAATTTTATAATCCATTGTAATATAATATACATATTACTTATTAATTTTGTTGTTTACTTATTTTTGTATAATTATTTGTGTTACTTTCATATTACATTTGCAAACTTATAATATTTATTTAAGAAATTTTGAGTTGTCTTCTATTTTTTAATTTAAATATTAGCACGCTGCTATTATCAAGAATATGGCGACGTGTTTTCGGACACTGACATCAAAGGGATTGACGCGGAGTGCCCCTACTGATTATACATATACTGTGGCACAGCCTAGTAATATAGCGCTAATAATGTCGGCGCTGCCTGCTTATATCATTGCGCTCCTATATCTCGCCTCGACGTGGTGCGGCAAGACGTAGGGGCGTAACGACATAGGCAGTAGTGCATTGTTCTTCCAATCGCCAAGCGCCGACATCAGCACACTATATTACTGGTCCGCGCTGATTGAAATGCTCTGTCCTCTACCAGCACACGTTTTTCCTTAATTTTCGCAATTAATTTTTCAGTTATTATTACAAATATCGCAAAACGGCATAAGACTTTTATGTTCATCTCGATCCGCTCTACGTTCTCACTAGAGCTTCGTAGATTGTTCTTGGACACCCTGTATATTGCGCGCACATAGATAATGTTAACGTTGGCGCTGACGACAAAAAATGTATGAATAATTTTGATACGCTGCAATTCTGCGAAGAAATCATAATCTATTTTTTTTTTTCAATTTATAGAGGAAAGTTTATACTTTACAATGATTATTATATGCGATATTATATATAATGGTTAGAAGATGCGTTATTATATATAATAGTTAGAATATGCGAAAAAAATTTATTCCATTATGCAATATTTTGGATTATAAAATATGTAATTTCTTATTTTTGAAAAGACGACGATAAGGAAAGAGGATAAATTCAAAACCTAAAAAATACAATTACTTTTAAGAATGAAAAAAGAAATTTTAAATAAGATAATTTTCCGCAGAGTTATGTTTATTTGAAATCAATTATATGCAAATAAGACAATTAGAACAATTAGTGTTACAATGGGCGCAATTTTATTTAACGATACATTAATAATATATTAATAATATATAATGGTTTTGGAACGTTTCGATCAATATTAGGTTCATCTTCAACCTATATTACAAATTTATAACAACAAAGATAATTACAATAAGATTATTATATATAAGATCATAATTCCACTTGGTTCTCTATAACATTATGTTAGTTGGATTTACTCGATCGTCGGTTACATGACACTGATCCTTCATATGCAGAAGATAATTTTTATAGTCCGAGTTGATATAATAAATGATTAGACAATCTTTGGAATCGTGAGATTTATGTAAATCGCTGTTAGTAACCTAATATTAAAAAAGTGTGATGTAACAAAATATATATTTTTCTTTTGAATATATCCCATACAGCATAGAAGAAACATTGATGAGATGTTGCAACATTGAAGATAGAAGTACGGATATTTTTTCTACATAGAATATATGTTGTTTTTTTACATTAATTACAAAATATTACTGCAATATTGAATATATGTCGGACAAAAAACTACAATATTTTGCAACGTTGCAAATTTGAGGTACATTGGACAATATATTATTGATAATATTAATGAAAAAATTTTTGTTATATACTAATAATAATAAAATAAATTATTATTAATTTTTATTATATTATATATATATATAATATATATATTATATATATATATATATATATATATATATATATATATATTATTCGTAATATATTAAAATGTACCATAATCATATACATTTATCCTATGGTTTATATGTAAAATTAAGATGTGTTTAAGTAATTTTGCGCAAACCCAGAATATTCTTTTATTTCATAATATTCTCTATTATGTAGAGTCTACGCAAGTTGTATTAATAACAAAAAATGCATAAAAAATATTAAACTGGAAGGAATGGTCGAAGTCATTTTGCAAATAACCATAAACTTTAGAGATATTAAGTAAAATATTAGGTGGTAAACTTAGTTCCTGCGGCTCACAGTTAGATGACGTTAGTTGTAGGTGTAATTTATTTTGACATCTGAAACTGGCTGCATTTTAGAGGTTAGACATTTGTCAATAAAATTCAGTGCGAAGAGATTCATTTAAGCGAGCAGTGCTATTTTTTCTTTTGATTAAATATGGAACGTGAGAATATGTGAATATGTGATAAGTTGTTTTTCCGACATGTGCTGCTTTATTACTTTGACTTGAAAAAAACTGCAGCTGCAGCTCATAAATTGCTTTTCGAAGCTTATGGCAATTATGCTCCATCGGAAAGAACATGCCAAGTATGGTTTCAGCGATTTAAGAGTGG